ACTAGTATTTGAGGGGCTAATTCACCCTGGAATCTAGTCAAAATCAGCTGTAAAGGAATATAGTCAAAATCAAACTCTTCACCAGCAACTGGGTCTTTGGCTTCTAAATGAAAATCACAGCAATCAGGCGCCGTGGAGGTTTCTCTTTCCATATATGGAATCCTGTGATTTCCCACATGGATGCTATTGTGAGATTAGCAAGAATGTGAAACAGTAGGAACTGCTGTATGGGCACAACTGCAGCCCCAGAGCTCCGTATCAAATTTTTGGCTCTCTCCTTTGAGCATCCCAGTTAAGACTTACTCACAAAATTAATTGTCATGGAAAACTTCTTAATGGAAAAGTATCTAAGAAGTAAGTTGGTGTTTTCACTCCTGACCCTAGGTTATATTTGTGAGGTAGGGTACTGGTTAAGATCTTGGGTTAGAGTAAAAAAAAATATTGCATGTGGAGAATTTACTATAAGATTATCCTAATGGCAAAATTAATCTTCTCCATCTGTTAAAAAAATATATGACTACTTGGAAAACATTCTGATTTTAGAGAAATACACATTTTAATAATGTTATTTTACAATTGCCTTAGAGCCAGATAGCTGAGGACGGAGTGAGAAGAAGAGTTTTCATCATGTAAATTTTGAGCCATATGTGTGTGCTATATATTCAAAAATATAAATACAATTGTATAAAGAAAAAAGCTAACTTGATGTATTTGCTGTTAGGAAATAAATTTAAAATGTCCTCCATAATATAAGATGGTAAAGAGGATTGGGACCAAGAGGAAGTTAATCACCCCATTAGTTAATATACCACTCTCTGTAGTTTACCATTTGTTAATTCAAACTGATCGGCGTTTTACTGGATGGTTTTTGTCTCCAGCCAGCAAAACCTTTATTCTCCACAACTCAAATCCCATTAATGCTAATCAGCACAATGATTAAGCACTTTGGGTTAAGTACTCTAGCTGATAACGACTCCTTTGGAAGAAAGGTTCCCACAGCACAGGTAAAGGCTATCATCAAACTCAGCTTTTCAGCACAATACGTAGTGTCACAGATCTGCAAGTTAAGATTGTTTCAGTATTAATAGAGGCTTGCTTTTTTAACCTCACTTGACTTATGAGTGTCCCACTATAAGCCAGGGGCAGCATCTAATGCTGGGGATGCTGCCCCTGGCTTATAGGGGGGGTAGGAGAGCAAGGAGAAACAAGAACTCAAAGATAGCCCTGGCCTGTTAGTTTAGTTGGTGATAGCATTGCCCTGATACCCCACGGTTGCAGATTTGATCCCTGGTCAGGGCACATACAAGAAACAACCAAACAATGTGGCCTGTGCCCTGATTGGGAATCAAACTGTGACCACCTGGTTTATAGGTCCAGGCTCAACCACTGAGCTGCCCTGGTCAGTTTCTAACCTAGTTTCACTTTCCCACCTTCAAGCTGTAGCACAGCTGGGTTTCCAGCTGGTTGGGGAAGCAAAGATTCTTTAAATAAACAGCATTTTAAAAATATGCAGTCGCTTTTGAATGTTGTGGACCACCTTTCTCTAATATGTGAATCTAGGTGTCAAATTAATTAAAAACTACCCTAAAGAATGTGATATCCCCCAGGAATACACCTTTTCCATCTTCAACAACAAAGTACACTATACTTTGGAAGAAAACTTCATATCAGAAAGTCACAAAGGAAGAATGAGCTTTTTTTAAATGCTATCAACTATATCCTGCCAATAAGAAAGCAGTTTAAAATCATATATATATATATATA